TGAGACTCCCGCGATAAGTGAAGCGGTCTACACGCTCGACTACTTCTTTCCCTATCACTAGTTCAGGTGCCATTAGTTTATCATCTCAATAGAATATTTATATTTCTCATAATAGTAGTAGTCTACCATCATCATTATAAATAAGAATTAGAATAATAAAAACTGAAGAAAAGAAAAAAATAATTCATACCATATTCTAAGCCTTGTTGTCGTTGCTTAAACTGATACATCTGTTGTTGTTGTTGTTCCGTAAGGAGTTGTTGTATGTTGTTGTTGCATCATTTGTGCTTGGTTAGACATCGAAGGATGATATTGTACTGGTGGCGGTGGTGGTAAAGATAATGGTTGATGTCCTGAACCGACAACTATTGGTTGTGGACTTAACGGTTGTTGTTGTTGTTGCATTGAATATCGAATATTATTAGTATTATTGTTATTATTATTGACATTATTAGTAACTGATGTATGTATCATAGGTGAACCAAGGCGTATTGGTGGAGAAGCTGATATTCGCATTGATTGATTAACATGATTTGGTATAGGATAATAATTTTGTGGATATTGTACCATATCAAGTGGTCCACTGACAACACCAACACCACCACCACTTCCAGTAATATTACTTGATTGATTACGTCGAAATAATCGACCAAATGTACCTGATAACATACGTGATTTTTTCTTACTTGGAGTAGGTGATGGTGTAGGTGAAAAAAAATGATTGTGTTGGATCTAATCGAGACATTGAATTCATTTGTTGTTGTTGTTGGTGTTGTTGTTGTTGACTATCAATAATGTTATATGATTGATTTCTAGGTCCAATTGGACGTAAACGATTTTGATACAAGGCTACAGGTTGATGATGATACATTGGCATAGAATTCATTTGTAGATGAGGTCTTGTTGAATGAGCAAATTGTTGTTGTTGTATTTGTTGTTGTTGTTGTTGTTGTTGTTGTTGTTGCTGTTGTTGTTGCTGCTCATACTCTCGTTGATAGGGTGGTTGTTGAGTCAATGTCATTGATTGATCTGAAACTGACTGTTGTCCAAATTGTTGTAGTTGTTGTTGGTGCTGCTGTTGTTGTTGATCAAATTGTTTATTCATCAATGGGATATTTTGTGCTGATGTAAAAGGGATTAATTGTTGTTGTTGTTGAACTGATGGTTGACCTTCGATTACTTGATTACAAACTAATGAATCCGAAGCAACTGAAGAGCCTTCTTCTTCAGGACTATCTACTGAGATAGCTGATAAAGAACTAAAGAAGAAAAAAAATAAATAAAGAAACATCATATGTGTTGATAATTTTTCTTCATATAAAATTACATATATATATTTGCTTTATATATTTCATGCTGATTTCAAAAGAAAAAGCTTAGCTTATCTGATTATGCCGCTGTTATATATTCAGTTTGCATACAAAGCGAATATATATAAGACAAGAAAGCAAACAAGTTTATTTAGAACAGATGCAATGTAGGATAGCAGTAGAATTCAGAACGCACGTTTTATCCTCCACCTCGATAAAAATATGAATTTTGAGATGTAAATACACCCAGCTGATAACTCCAAAATAAGACAAAACAAGCGTCCTGAACTCCATTGCTAGTCATATTCCTCTTTTATTCTGTATAAACATGTGTCATCATAGCTCTAATATCAAGGCAATTCGCACAGGATGGACATCTAACAACCAAGACTGATCAAATTTCAGTCACCGTATAAATTAGGAGATCATCTGAACCATTAAAAATTATGATAAAAAGGCAAGCAGTCAAAGTTTTCACCATTAGTGTACTCTGTTCATCTTGCAAACACAAACTTAAGAGCCTATAAAACCTAACAAAAACGATGCATATTCAAGAATACGTTACCCAAACACATTACCTCACTTAAAAAACATATCCATAAACAATACATGCATCTCCATACATAAACTACATGCAAAATAATTAACACAAGGCAATTTCATTTCACTATCTCTCTCTATATTCATATTTATGTCTACCTTGATGATGGTACATGATCATCAGTGAGTGTATTGATGGAAGAATGCCGAAAAGTTGTATGATTTAAATCATCATCGCTAACAGTCTCTTTAATGATAATACAATTATTGTCAACAGTACCATCTTCAGCATGTTTATCATGATCACCATCCATTTTAGGTTTATTTAAACTATATCCTCTGCGTAGATGTATAGTGGTAGCAGTATGATTTGACAAATTAGATGGTGGTGGTCCTATAGGAGCTGATAATTTACGAATTAATGATGTATTATTATTATTAGTTGTAGTTGTAGTTGTAGTAGTAGGTAAATTGGATTCTTGATAGTTAGGCAATTGTTGTTTCGATCCAGGTAGAACCAATGATTTAGCCACTGCTGCTACTGATACTTGTGTAGTTGATTTCGATAGGGAACTGTCAGATTTTCCATTCAATAAACCATCAGAACTAGTGTTTTTTTTTTTTTCAAAGTAAGCAACAAAGTACAATTTTAAAGTAGGACTAACATTTTTTTTACATAAATTTTAAATATTTATAATGAAATTGAATAAATGATGGGATATTATACAACGTTCATTAAAAATCAGGACAGAGTAGGTTGGAGAACACTGGTCGGCAGCCTATACTCCATTGGGGGTAACAGAAGTAAGTAGGTAAGTAAGTCATTCAACAGGATTTACAACAAAAAATGCTTTCTTAACAAATTGTAACATATCCTAAAGGAGAGGAAAACTGTACCAGTAATTTGTAAACTTCTAATTCAAATGATTCTTTCATAGTGATTTTGTCAAAACCTTTGTTTATTATGATCATTAAAACTATTTTTCGCAACTCAATAACCATGTATAGATAGGTCTTTGTTAATAAGTCACAAGAAATGTAAAACGTAGCACAAAACTACAAAGGTTCAAGCTACTACACCAAATCTTCATAATAGAATGAAATTATCAATATAAATACCATAATCGTAAAAATAGTAACAGTGTCAGTGATATTATAACACACTGAGCGTAGAAAATAACATTCAAGAAAAAATAATGAATTCATGGAATAAGAGGTAGATTATAATGTCAAGATCTGAAAGAAGCAAAATAAGAGATGCGCCTGCGCCACGACGAGACAACGTTTTCAATCATTTACTTCCGGTAAACACGTCGATTCATACACGGTAGTCTGAACCTAACCACATAGTTCAGATCAACAGTTAGTGAGGTAGGTAGTAGTTAGACTTTCGTAATAAATGTCCCGAACGCCTCGATTGGTAAGCATATACGACCTCACCAATCAACTTGCTGTTTGTTTAATAATCTATGTCTAAGCTCATAATTGATGTTATCGGTAAACCTTCGAGGGTATATTTGATCAAGTACTGTTAGCTTACAAATATACTTCATTTTTAAATGAAATTTTTCTCCACCTGTGAGGTACAACAGATAAAAACTAATGTGAAGCACATTCAACCTTTGGTTGGCAGACCAATATCTCGCCTGCATCACGAATGACACAAGTTGGAAAAAGTCAAACAAGCCTTCCAAACAGGTATAGGAGTAGATAGATTTGAACTACAATCTTCACACAGGCTAATGGAAAAACCCAAATGTTCAAACTTAAGAGGACATGTAATCGCACTTCAAATGCATTGGTTGAAAGTCAAATTCCTGAATCATTAAAATACATCTCCTTTAACACAATAATACTGATGACACAACCATAGGATAATACACATACTAGTTTACCAAACAAGTTTATATGCAACTTTCGATAACAGCAGATAATATTGATTGTGAGGAAATACTAACATTGAGAAAGATTTAAATAAAATATTGAAAAACTAAGAAAAACTTAACAAAAGCAACATTTACATATATCAATCACTTACCCATGTGGATAGCCAATACCACTAGTACAAGTTGGTAGATTATTAGTACGATAACTATTTCTTAAATACATATTACTAGTAGTATTCATTAATTCTTGTGCTGTTGAAGGTAATGCTACATTGTTTGCTGTATTTGCTGCACTCATCGGTAATGATGGTGGAGGACCACCAGAACCAGTAGGTGTAGCAGCAACAGGTAAATGATATTGTAATTGTGATACAGGTCGAAGTGGTTGATTAATGACATTATTTTGTAATAAATCATCCGATGTAACTAAACCACCACCATTGTTAACCTGGTTTAGCGACGACAATAACAACAACAAGAAAAAAGAAGAAACTAGTTGAATTAGCGGTTTTAATTTTATTAAAGTTCTTTGTTAAAACTAAAATAAACAAATTAAAGCACACTGAATCTCTCTGTAGCCAGTTCATTAATTAATTAATTAAATCAATACAATAACAACAAACAATTACAACTTTTTTTTTAATTACCCCTAAGTACAATTTAAATTTAGTGCAATAATGGGTAATAAATTTTAAAACTATTAATAGAGATCTAAGAGAGATTATATTTTAATAATCACAACTCTATGTATCTCACAATGAAACGTATCGGTAGGATAGATTGGTTTGGTGAATGGTTGTATGTTCAACATTGCTAAAACCATTAAGAAAATTTAGAATTGGGTCCTATAAAAAGAAAATCATGTTACATTTCACCTTTAAACTTTAATTTACCTAAAGTTATTACCGTTTTGCTTCTCTTCTTTAATTATTGACCTTAAATACTTAATTTTTCTTTTTTGGATGCAGTAAACCACTTACTTCTTTTACAATCATTAATAATTCGATTTTTATGATATACTTGATGAATATTCATGTTATGTAACAGGCACAAATTCGGATTCCTAATCAAAACAATATTTGTTTTCTATGAGATTTTTATTTTACTATTGCTCAGTAAATTGATTGTCATTTTGTACAGAAACTATTAAAATAGCTGTTGTACAGCTGCTTTGAGAATGAACTGTTCTTCAATGAACTAATCTTTCTTGTTTCTATTTCGTTATGTAGTTCGAAGAAGAAGACATCAACTACTGATTAAGTTGCCAGAAAATCAAATTAGACATAAGAAATATTGGCCAATAGAAGACATTTAGTTTCGCCTGCTAATTCTCATTTCAGTTTTGGTTAAATTTGATCTAATTATTAGACAAAGTGATATGTGACTACTCTTGATTTATATATAGGAGATAAGGAAATAACTGACAGTTATCTTGAACTATCCATAGCGTGTTATACTGAGTCAGATAGCCAGTAACTTGTTCACTGAGTATGATTTTCATGTCTTTATGAATAAGCATTCGAGATATCCCGTTGTTTATAATCAGAATTGAGTTTTGAACAGTTTTTGTTGGTGTTTATAAAAGCGAAATACTACACATCGGATCTACGTATGCTAATGAAAATTGATCGACACTCAGTCCTCAGTATGAACAACGGAATCATTCAAGCCTACTGATATTATTACAGTATTGATTATTTACAAATAGTGACCGATACAGATATTTTACTCATATTCAATTAATTAGAGATAAAAATATCGAACTATAATTTAAATGAATATTACTTAAATGAACGACATCCTACATCAATCTAAGTAATATAAATATCACAGATATAATATCCAGGTTTAAAATAAGATGAGAAATTAACGGGATGCAAAAAAGGTGATATAAACAAGATCAAAATGCAAGAAAATGTATCATTTATTAAAAAGCAATAACAACCAACCATCAGCCAAATAGAAATCTTTTTTTTTCTCAACCAAAAATAAAAAAAACTTGGCAAAATACGAGTTTATAGATTACCAAAAGACAGAAAAAAATATACGCTCATGATTAAAAGGCGGAAAACAATGAATGAACAAAGAAAATGCAAAAAAACAAAAAACAAAATGAATTGTGAAACAGTTACCAAGTGGAATTAATCACGCAATAAATGAAACCATGTGAATTTGATCTAGATAGGAGAAATAATTCTCAAAGAAAGCTCTAAATTTATTAAATCGAAATTTCGATCTAAAGGCAAAATCGAGGTATTTGAAATATAATCGAATTGGCCGTCTCTGTAATATATATATATATATATATATATATATATATATATATATATATATATATACATATATATATATATAATTTGAAGCTTAATCGCCATCAACGGAAGGAGCTGACATGAATTCAAATAGATATAATTTAATGTTACACTGCAAAATAATGGGGCCAAAGGATGAAATTGCAGGAATCATGTTTGTTAGGATAGCTCAAATAAGCCTCTAGGGGCTCCCGAGAATCTAAAGCGCTTCCATCCAAACATACGGAATGTTGATGCGGTATAAGGTCGGTTGGATATTGACGCTACATCGCTCATTAAGGAGTGATTGATTTCATATTGTTTCCACTCTGTCCAGAAAACTATAAAAACTCACGGTTTCTCTGTATATATTTGACTTTTACTACAATAAATATTCCTTCTGTTCTGCGAACAACTGGGTGATTCTATTTGTCCAAGTGCAAAAGGCACAAACAACAATACCTAAATTAGGTACTTAAGTATGTGACCATACCATTGCAGCCGATTTTGAACCATCTTAAACAATGAATTCAACCGTGGATTAGAGGATTGATTGTAACCTCAGCCAGGAAATATCTACCTATTGATATGCTCTTTTTCTATATGTGAAGTTTCAGAAGTTACAGTTTGACATCAATTCACATACACATATACAAACTTCAACACAATTCGGGGAAACATATTAAGCATTTGCCTTGAAAATACCTAACAGATTACTACTACAAACAACTAGTGAGACTATTGTTTTTTTATGTATCGAGAAAAAAACAGTCAACATCAATCGGAAATTTTTACATTACAATATAAAAAAATATTAATTAAATTCATTTATATTTGATGACAATGAAGTTAAATATATTGGAGTAATGTTGGAGGTGTGAAACGCTCAACTGTGTCATAAAAAAGACCTAACATGGAATCCTCTAGTCCAAAGGCGAAGACGAGGACCAAAGAACAGACTACGTCGAGAATCAGAAGCAGACACGAAAAGAATAAACAGTAATTGGGTAGAAAAAGAAAAGGAGACCCAGGACAGGGTAGGTTGGGGAATGCTGGTCGAGGACCTATGGTTCATTACTGATAACAGACGTAGTAAGTAATATCGGATTGATGATTTCAAATGTGTAAAAACGCAAACCTCCAAAACTGTGCCCCAAAATATCGGAGTAATCTTTCAGTATACTGAAATCTTTATTCAGTAAACATCAAGTGTTAGTCTTTGTAATTTACAACTACAAACCATTAATGCAAAATAGACAGCGGTAAAAATATCAAACCAATAGAGAAATGAAAAACATTAGAAAATTTTGCATTCAATAACATTCTCAACATGTTTACCAATTTCAAAATGATTACAAATTTTATTTTCTTTTAAAAAGTAGTAAACCTTTGTTTTAATTACATTCCAAATATAATCGAGCAGATTGCATGCACATGCATAATTATGAAATTTATTCGCAGCAAAATTAGTTGTTTATTGTTAATAACTATTTAAACACTTCAATTGTTGAAAAATTATTCTTTCTCAAGTGTTGTTAGTCGTAAATATCATAATATGAAATTAAAAACTGCGTGGTTCAGTAGACACAAACTTAAAAACTATAAAATTGTACTAGCAATACAGTTTTTAATAAGAATGAATGTGAACGATTTTTAACAAAGGGTTTATTATAGTGAAATACTTGAATTAACCAATGGTTAGCGGTGTTACAACCATGTCATTGTGTCAGACAGTTATCGATCATAAGTAGTGATTGGAGAATGAGTAATATCGTGAATTACACATAACACAAGCAGCGGTCGATTAAATTTAAGGATGTATATCACCAAATGCCATATCAGTAGTCTAAAGCTTGAATAATAATAATAGTATGATCTAAATATTCTGAGTTGAAATCTCTAGTGGGGTTGTAGACAGATTGTCATCGCTGAACAGTGCTATATTAGAACAAAAAAGCTATTTAATCAGTTGATTATAAATCATGAAGATTAATCATCGTCTTTTCTTCTCAGTTTATGGGAGAAAATAAATAAAAAGTCGACTTCAGCTATTATGATGTAAACGAAAAAGATTCTTTATGTTTAAGAAAAAAAGTGCTTGTATATTCAGGTCAAATTACACATAGTATAACATTGTTTCGTAGAATCTAATAATCTGGAATACATTACTTCTAGATATGAATTAACAAAACAAACTAGTTAAATCTCTAGATCTTATCTTTAAGTAGAGAAGAGAGAAAGAAAATAACTTTCAAACTGTTTTTCCCATGATTGTAAAATAAATAATGAGAATATCATTTGCGAAGAATGAATACAAAATGCAAATCAGTTCACAGGCATGATGAGAATAATAATAGATTGGGCAGTGGTAATAATCACAAACATTTTTAAGTTTGTACTTTCCTAAACGACTTGATTTCTAAGAGAACTAACTAACTGAACCTGAAAACAATCCTCCGAAGAAAACGACGATTTACCAACAAGATCACACGAACGAGTAGACTTAACGCTTATAGAATGATAAAAAAACACCTAACTTCTGAGTGAAGTAAGCGTTAACGAGGTTGTTCAGAATGACAAATAAAGTTTCGTGCAAAAAATACCACTCGACTAAGAGAACACAACACAATCAAAAGCATCCGCCTAAGCAGTAAATTTCGATTATTTCATATTCTTATATTATATATATATATATATATATATATATATATTTGAAACCATGAATCGATCAATGTTAGACCACCATTAGAAACCTGGAAGCACTGGACGGCCGTTTCGTCCTGGTATGGGACTCCTCAGAGCAACTCCGTGAATTTGATCAAGTTAGACATTACCACCGTTAGATACCGGCTCAATGGTCTAACGGTTAGGGCGTTCGTGCACAATATAAAAGGTCCCGGGTTCGAATTCTGCGGGGTGCAGGAGTCGTGGATGAGCACTGCTGAGGATTCCCATGCCAGGACGAAACGGCCGTCTAGTGCATCTAGGTTTCTAATGATGGTCTAACATTGATCGATTCATGGTTTCAAAAATGTGTAACTTAACAATCTTCACAACCCCCGTGATGCATATATATATATACATATATATATATATATATATATATATATATATATATATATATGCAGTCAGCCAAAAGATAATTAATACAGTCAAA